TCATTTTGCTCTGAAATTGACAGTGCAGATTTCGTCAACGCCCATCTCAACAGATCAATCCAAAGCAGAACTGGCCAAAAGCTTGTTGTCTGCAACTCATATTTCATGGATTCCACCGATTTCTACGCGGCTGATTTCGAAGACGACCTCAAGGCTGCCTTCCTACTCAACAACCCATTGAAATCTCAACATGGCGGCGACTTGGTATGCGGTTCTTGCAATGGTTTGACTCTCTTGGGTATGATTATTAATTTGACACCCTTAATCATGGGTCTTGTTATATGGAATCCATTTACCAGGCGGTATAAGAAATTACCGGTTTGTCCAGTCCAAACCTTTCCTTCGTATAGAGGATTCATGTGCTTTGGTTTAGGGTATGATTCTGCTCATGATGACTATAAGGTTGTGATGATTTCGAAGGCTGATGACTCCAATCAAGTCTGGGTTTTTGGGTTGAAATCAGATTTTTGGAGGAGGAGCCGAGATTTGGAAGATGAAGTTACCACATCCGTGGGGCGTTTTGCAAATGGTGCTCTGTACTGGATATGTAAAAGTAAGTGCGTTGGTTTTAATCTCAAGAAGGAGGTGTTCTTTGACATTCCGCTATTGTCTGATTGTGGCCCAGCTAGTCTCTTTTTCAATTCTTTCGATGCCTTGGTGGTTTTCGGAGGTAACCTTTTTTTCCCTAAATTGCATGATAAAACTATAGAATTTTACTTGGTTGTGAGTGATGTGAGTGATAAGGGTGGCGAAGTTGTAGAAGGTAGTTGGAGGAAAGAGTTCACTGTAGAAAATGTCGAGAATATTTCGCATGATGTATTTCCGCTTTTGCCTTTGGCTTATTCAAAAGATGGGGGTAGCATTTTGCTTCTTGACTCAAGTGGGGTTTTTTGGTATAACCTTGAAAACAAAACAAACCAAAGGGTGATCATTGCGGGGCTGCCTGATGTTCCTTGCTCCAGATACAGTGTCTGTTGGGAAAGTCTTGTTTCTGTTGGCAAGGATAGTGCGTTTGATGGAGCGGCTGAGGAAGGGAGAATAGACGATTTAGAGGAGTAGAACAATTTGAAGCTGACTTCTTTTAGAGGCTCAAGTTTGTAAAGAATAGCTGTTGTGAGGTAGTGAATGGATATGTTTTTGGTTAGTGAAGATGATTGTATTTCAATGAAATTCCATGTCAATCCAATATCTGTTTTAGCCCTTCTTATAAATCCCAGTTTAGTACCTTTTGTGGAATTTTGGATGTTTTGAAATGGGACATGGGAAGATTTCCCTTTTATTCATTTTGGAACTCTGCTTTGGACATGTATCATGTATGGCAATGTATGTTATATAAGCTTATTGGTTAATCCTTAGAAACAGGTTGAAAACTAATTTTCGGCATAGGAGAATGCATGTGTGTTGTGTGCAGCAGAGTGTGAGGCAACATGTGAACGCCTATCTTTCTTGAGTGTTAGACTGTGTGTTTACTGTTTAGTAACTGTGTTTGGGCAGCTATACTTATGATTTAGGTATCCAATGAGTTCCTCAATGCTGGAGTAGGGCAGGAAAGGAAGGTATCATCTTACATTGAAGGTGGGATTTGTTTTGGCAGCAGCACTGTACTTCCATGGAAGACAGCATAGGAATCGCTGTTTGTTTATGCAGAAAAGCAAGCCCTCTAAGGTAGCTAGTAAAATGATTTTGCATTTGCTTGAGAAAGGGCAGTTTAATCTCTTTAATTTTATTTTAAAATACTGTTTTTAAAGGGTTATATGCTATTTTGCTCAAAAATTATCAATATCTTGATAATTGGTTTAATAAACTATTGTTGGATGCTATCTTGTATCCAACATTGCTGATTTACTCTGTAAGTTGGAATTCAAAAATTAGATCACAGAAATATAACTACGGGTTGGAACTTTTGTCTGTAATACATAATATGCTCTTTACTAAGTTATGGCCAAAAGAAAAAGAGGAAAAAATGAAGAAGAAGAAGAATATGAATGGCGTTGCAGGACATCCCAAATGGGAATTGTTGCTCTGTTTTATTTTTGATTTCATGTGGTTCTAGCTGCACTGGTTGGTCGCTGAGGCAACTTGAAAAAATGCTTTACAAGGCAAAAACATTGTGTTAAATGGGTCTATCGTTCGGTGGCTAGAAGAAGTAAAGCTGGTTTCTTGCAGCTTGCATGGCTATCTGTTGGGAGAGATGAATAACATTTCGTTGGCCTTGAATATGTTTTAGAGTTTTATTCAGTAATTGATGATTTGTCTGAGGCCTATATATAAGTGAAATTACTACTGCAATTGTGCCGTCAGTGTAATTTGACGTTAAGAGTCTACTCTGAATTTTTTAAGCTTAAAAGTCACGTATAAGTCACGTATTTTACTTGGGATTAAGATCCAAGAAGTTATAAAACATCAGAACAAAAAAAAAAAAAAAAAAAATTGGCAGTTTCAGCATCATGTAAAATATTTTGCAGTTTCTGAGGATGATTGTGGATTTTGTTTCTTGCAGGTGAGTGAATTGTGTGTTTTAGTTTGGATTGCTTGGTGAAAGACTGAATGTCTGTTTCTCCAAAATGTTGACATGAGTTCTTTTCAAAGGGGTATGCGTGGATTGAATATGAAAAGTTTGCAGAGGACGATGCCGTTCGATATTGTAGCTGTAGGATCTTCGTAAAAATTAATACAGTGGCATGCTCATTCACAACCAGGCCTAGCACTTTCAGACCCAAACGGAAACGATATGTGATTAGACCAGACCATTAAAATTAGGCATGCAAGCTCGGCCCATGGTTGGAATTGGTCTCTTAAAATTAAAACCTAAAATTTCTATATCCGCCAGTGGCACAACTACATTCCTAAATCTTCTGTCAAACCCTAAATTGCCGACGGAGAAAAAATCCGGAAAATGTCTGCATTGCTGCCGGAATTAGTCACCGATATTCTCCTGTGCCTCCCGGTGAGTTCGCTCCTACGATTCAGATGTGTTTCGAGATCACTCTGCACCGAAATCGATACTGAAAATTTCGTCAAGAATCATCTCAACAGATCAATCCAGACGGAAACCCGCCAAAAGTTAGTCATCTACAACGAGTTATCAATCAACGGAATCTACGTTGCCGATTTTGATGATGACCTTGCTGATGCCTTCCCATGCCTTCCCACTCAGCAGACCATTGATATCTCGTCATCATAAGACACCCGTATACGGTTATTGCAATGGTTTGATTCTGTTTGGTCCGGATCTTGCCATATGGAATCCATTTACCAGGCGGTATAAGAAACTACCGCGTCCAGACGAATCCAATGCAAGATTCGTGTGTTCTGGTTTAGGGTATGATTCTGCTCATGATGACTATATGATTGTGCTGATTTCAGAGGTTCATCGTTGGTGTCATCAAGTCTGGATTTTTGGGTTGAAATCAGATTTTTGGAGGAGGAGCCGAGATTTGAATGATGATTTGATTTATGATGCTAGCCCATGGGCGCTGGGGCATTTTGCAAGTGGTGCTTTGTACTGGGCATGGAAAATAAAAAATAAGTGTGTTGGTTTTGATCTAGCCAAGGAGGTGTTCTTTGACATCCCGCTACCGTCTGATTGCATCCCAAAATCAATCTTTTCGGATTCGTTGGTGGTTTTCGGAGGTAACGTTTATTGTCGTACATTACATGATGGAACTGTAGAATATAACTTGCTTGTGAGTGAAGATAAGGGTGGAGATGTTGTAGGAGTTAGTTGGCGGAAAGAGTTCACTATGGAGAATGTGACAACAATTATGAGTGATGTTTTTCCGCTTAGGCCTTTGGCTTATTCAAAAGATAGGAATAGCATTCTGCTTGGGGAAGTACGTGGGGTTTTTTGGCATAACCTTGAAAACAGAACGAAACAAAGCGTGGATATTGCTGGGCACCCTGTGAAGCGCGGGTACAGATACAATGTTTGTTGGGAAAATCTTGTTTCTGTTGGCAAGGATAGTGCATTTGATGGAGCAGCTGAGGAAGTGACAAATTGAAGCAGACTTCTTTTAGAGGTTCAAGTTTGTGAAGACTAATAGCTGTTGTGATGTAGTGAATGGATATGTTTTTGGATGGTGAGGAAGATTGTATTTCAATGAAATTCCATGTCAATCTAATATCTGTTTTAGCTCTTCTTATAAACCCCAGTCTAGTACCTTTTGTGGAATTTTGCTTTGTTTAAAATGGGACATGGGAAATTCCTTATATTTATTTGGGAACTCTGCTTTAGACATGTATCATGTGTTGCAATGTATGTTATATAGGCTTGTTGCTTAATTCTTAGAAACAGGTTGAAAACTTCTTTTCTGCATAGCAGTGGTATGATGGTGTATGGTGCATGTGTGTTATGTGTGGAGGGTGGAGGAACATGTGAACACCTATTTTTTTCAGTGTGTGGTTTTGTGTTCAGTGTGTTTGGACATATATCTATACTTATGATTTAGGTGTCCAATTAGTTCCTCAATGCTGGAGTGGGGCAGCAATGGAAGGAGTCATCTTACTTTGAAGGTGTGAGTTGTTTTCACAGCAGCAGTGAACCTCCATGGATGGCAGCATAGGAATTGTTGTTTGTATATGAAGAGAAGCAAGCCCTCTAAGGTAGGTTGTAAACTGATTTTGCAATTGCCTGAGAAAGGGCACTTTAATCCCTTTAGTTTTATTTTGAAATACTGTCCATAGAGAGATATATGCTATTTGGCTAAAAAAATTATCAGTGTCTTGATTATTGGTTCAACCAACTATTTTTGGATGCTATCTTGCATTATCATAACTGACTTACTTTGAGTTGGAATTCAAAAATTAAATCATAGAAATATACCTACAGGTTGGAACTTTTCTCTGTATAATACATAACATGCTCTTTGCAAAGAAAAATGGTATTATGAAAAACAAAAAAGAATCAAAATGGCGTTACAGGACATCCCAATGGGGAACTGCTGTCCTGTTTTATTTTTGATTTCATCATGTAGTTCTTGTTGCCCTGTTTGGTTGCTGAGGCAAAATGGGAAAAAAGCTTTACAGGGCAAAAACATTGGGTTAAATGGGTTTATCGTTTGGTGGCTAGAAGAAATGATGGGTATAAAATTACATTGCTTGTGCATTCTTAAAAGGATGTAAAGCTGCTTCTTGCAGCTTGCATGGGCATATGCTGGGAGAGGTGAACTATATTTGTTTGGCCTGTAATATGTTTGGAGTTTTATTCTGAAATTGATTTATTTGAGGCATATTTATAAGTGAAATAACAAATGCAATTGTGCTGTTAGTTTAATTTGATGTTAAGAGTCTACTTTGGATTTTTTTTAAAGCTTAAATATCACATATTTTACTTGGGATTAAGATCTGAGAAAGTAGAATACATCAGGGGAAAAAATGCTGTTTCAGTGTCTTGTAAAATATTCCGTAGCGTCTGAAGATGATAGTGGGATTTAAATCTAGTTTGAAGTGCTTCGTGATACCAACTACAAAGACAAAACACCTATCTATACTTCTTCACTGTTTAATCTTCGTAAATTCTGGACCAAAATTTGAAGCAATGATAAGGTATGGCAAAAGTTATGATATTAAAAATATAAAAAAGTGTATTATATATTACTTAATAATTAATTTTTTAATATATCTATTAATATATATAATGTTATATATTAACTTATTTAAGTATATGATTTATCTCATATTATTAATTTTAAATCTTCGGCTTGATTTTTCATCTTCAGTATCAATATTCTTCATTTGTTTGCTGAGAAGGAAAGACTTGATCACTAATCTCAAAATTTAGACTCTAAATTTAATATTTAAGACAACATATATTCGTTCAGCCATAAATTAACTCGTGAAATTAAATGTGAAATTAATTTAAGTAATGATTAGAAGAGAGTTTAATTTAATAAAAAAGTTTAATGTCAAATGCACAACATTATAGTGTATTCAAAAATTTTTTTATTCAATACAAACACTGTATTTTATTATCTCCAAACGGAAATCAATCACCCATTCACATCGATTCATCGCTGATATTTAAGCTTTTTCACAATATATCCCCATTTTTTCTCTACAGCTTAGTTTAAAAATAGCAGTCACATCATCCCAACCCCTCCCCAAAAAATAAAAA